GGGACCCGCACCCCAAACCAGCTGTGCCCGAATTAGGAGGGACCCGCACCCCAAACCAGCTGTGCCCGAATTAGGAGGGACCCACACCCCAAACTAGCTGTGCCCGAATTAGGAGGGACCCACACCCCAAACTAGCTGTGCCCGAATTAGGAGGGACCTGCACCCCAAACCAGCTGTGCACCCCAAACCAGCTGTGCACCCCAGTCCAGCCGTGCCTGAGCTGGGAGGGACCCACACCCTAAACCAGTGAAGCCCTGGCATGGCCAGACACCCTGTTCTAGCTGCATCTGGAGACAGGAGGGTGCACCCCAAAGGGGCTGCACCCTGAACCAGAAGGGACCTGTGCCCTGGACCAGCCTTGCACCCCAAACCAGCTGCCCCTGGACTGGGAGGTGCCCTGTCCTGGACCAGCCCTGCACCCCAAACTGGCTGCACCCTGAACCAGGAGGGACCTGCACTCCAAACCAGGGGTCTGCCCCAAACTTGTTGGCCCCTGATCCTGCTGTGCCCTGAACCAGGAGGGATCTGCACCCCAAAGAATCTGTGCACTCTAAGCTGGAAGGGACCTGCACCCCAAAACATCTGTGTGCCCTAAACCAGGAGGAACCTGCACCCCAATCCTGCTGTACCCTAAACCAGGACGGACTTGAATGCCAAAGCATCCCTGTGCCCTAAACCAGGAGGGATCTGCACCCTAAACCATCTGCGTGCCCTGATCTTGCTGTGCCCTAAACTGGGAGGGACCTGCACCCCAAAGCATCCCTGCACTCTAAGCTGGAAGGGACCTGCACCCCAATCCTGCTGTGCCCTGAACCAGGAGGGATCTGCAGCCCCCCCATCCGTGTGCTGGCTCTGGCTCTGTGGGGACACGATGGATGACGCTCTGCCCGTGGAAGCGGAGCTGGAGCAGCAGTGGTTGTCCAACAGCTCCCTGAACGAGTCCCTGTCCAACCAGTTCGTGCAGCCCCCGTGGCAGGTGGCCCTGTGGGCCGTGGCCTACGCGCTGATCGTGGTGGTGGCGGTGGTGGGGAACGTGGTGGTGATGTGGATCATCCTGGCCCACAAGCGCATGAGGACGGTCACCAACTACTTCCTGGTGAACCTGGCGTTTGCCGAGGCCTCCATGGCTGCCTTCAACACCGTGGTGAACTTCACCTACGCCATCCACAACGAGTGGTACTACGGGCTCTTCTACTGCCGCTTCCACAACTTCTTCCCCATCGCCGCTGTCTTCGCCAGCATCTACTCCATGACGGCCATCGCCCTGGACAGGTGAGTGCTGAGGGTCACACCCTCCCCTCAGGCCAGGGGTGGTTTGGTGCTTAACAAGGCCAAGGGCCGGGTCCTGCCCTTGGGCCACAACAACCCCCGGACAGAAAGGGCCCTGGGGGGACTGACTGACAGCAGCTGGACATGAGCCAGGGGGGCCCAGGGGGGCAAGAGGCCAATGGAGCCTGGCCTGGCTCAGGAATAGTGTGGCAGCAGGAGCAGGGCAGGGATTGTGCCCCTGCCCTGGGCACTGGGGAGGCCACCCCTGGAGTGCTGTGCCCAGCTCGGGGCCCTCAGGTTGGGAAGGATGTTGAGGGGCTGGAGCAGGGGCAGAGAAGGGCAACGAGGCTGGGGAAGGGTGTGGAGCACAAGTGCTGTGAGGAGAGGCTGAGGGAGCTGGGGGGGCTCAGCCTGGACAGGAG